CTAAGTAAATAATGGATAATTTAGTTTATCAATTGGTAGTGAAGACTGTGAGAGAGGACCAAAGTGTAAGCAAGGGAGAGAAAACAGAGATGATAGGCGAGTTGGATTTAGTCAGTGATCTGAGATGGCAACAGTAACAACTAGCAGGTCTCAAGACACACATCAGGCACTGCTTGTCCACGATGGAGATGATAACCCGTGTGTGATAACGTGTTTATCGATTCTTTTCCTGAAACTGTCCATTCAGTGGGCTGTGGTCACCTCGGCTGAGAGAGCATTCCAAGTTGCAACAACTCTTATTGAAGAAACGTGTGCTCTTCATGCGCAATTTTTCGAGGACTGCCTCGAGGGGAGTGGTAGTAATGTATCGTAAGGTGCTCATGTTGTGGCGGTTTGACGTACTCAATATGTTGTACGCCATAATTGGATCACCTCTATTCCTTCTGTATCTCAACGAAAACAATCCCAAATACTGGATTTTTTTCGTAAGTCTTATTTTTCAAAACTATCACTCATTTCGTGGCTCATCACTGCACTCGACCCAAGAGACTTCTGTCTCTCTTAACGAGAGGTGTGACGAAGTTTTGCACCAACATGTGTGCGAGAACACGTCTTAAACAACGTTAAGAATGATTGTGGGGTGATAGCACCAAGTTGTCTTTGCATAAAGTGGAGAGTTGCATTCTCCTTGAATGAGTCCCTTATATATTTCGGGCTTGTGTGCAGGCTTTCTGTCGTTATTGAGTAGAGATCGCGCTATGAGAAGACATTAGCGAGCGGACTTCCATTGGGGGTGTAAATCGTTTTCGTCATGTGTGGTAGAATGTACTTGACGTGATACTTCGGTTGGTTTAGTTTTAAACCGTTTTTTACTGCCCGTTCATTCCTAAATAAACATTAGGTCCTTTCAAAGCTCAGTTGAATCCTTTTCACTTTTAATGAACCTACAGATTTTTGCATCGTCTACGTATGTCACTGCCGCCGAGCCGAAGACTATTACTGTACGAACAACATTTGGGCATATATACTTCCTGCCAGCGACTAGATATAATTAACCTGAAAGTACTAAGACTTGCTATATTTCCTCTATGTTTAAACACACTATATATTATTTAAAACTAGGTTGTTCATCGTAAAATGTATATACACAAATGAATATTTTAACAGCTCAACTTAATAATAACACAGTGAATTCTCTTTTCAACGCGACGTCTTCATATCCTTAGTTGCGAAGGTCAGGGAATGAGAGTTGAAAAAAGGTCTCTTTTGATGTAGCAGTTTTAAATACGTTGACGTAGTCTGATTCTAAAGTTCATTCCCTTTTAGTAAGTCAAGTAGATTAAACTCGTTCGCCGCTAACAGTACCAAGACTTTACTGATTTGCAACAAGTAAAACGATTTTTCTTATTTTTTTCTACAAGGTCACCAAGGTCATTACACGAAAGCGTTGGTTGTACAGAAAATCAGCACTCTAACTTTATTTCGTTTGCGAACATGATTATATAAGAATATTTGAGTTGTAATACATCACCTACATTTCATTCATTTTTAGTGGTAACCGAGTCGAGATTGTTTATTATAACCACTAATTGTTCCATACTATTCCGTCACTTAAATGAAAACAAATCCATGTTTGAATATTTTATTGAAGGAGAAAGTAGGTATTACATAGGGAGCAGCACGTTATAAGGAATGGCAGCAACGCGAAGAGAACGTTGTGCGCAAGAGGTGTTTTTGGTAAAGTTAAACAAAACCAGTACAATAATGTTTATTTTTCACAAATCGCGTTTTCTCCGTAGAAGTGTTCCACTACAGCAGCCCTCCGTAGAAAGGATTTACACTTTCGATACATGGCGGCTGTGTTCGGTTGGGTGGTTGACGAACAGGAAGCGACCAATGAAGCTCGTGTTGACACCGATAGTCTTCTACTTTGAACTGTACCAGTAGTAACGTGCCAGGTATGCTGCTGGAGTTGACGTGCCAAGTTCGTCTAACGGATTAGCATGCCACACCAGCGTAACTCGTATCCACAGTCTGAAGATTGCGTTCGTAGGGTTTCGGACAAGATAAAGCTGCAGACGTATGACGGAACCAGACTGAGCGTAGGGGCCAGAAACGGTGGTAACGACCAGAGCGAAACCCGATATATTCGTGACCAGAACATCGACTGAGTGCATTGACAAGAGCGTGGATGATCAGGCAAGCTTTCGCCAAGGTTTTCTGAAGTCGACGGTACCAACAGGGCAATGGTCGGAGGCGTGGGCTCAAGATTAAAAAAATGAAGGAAAAAGAGAAAGGTGTAGCATACACGTAGTATGAGGATAAGTCCTATCGTGTATTTGTTGTTGATTGGGATATTAGTCGCTAAAACTTACAAGTAGGTGTGTGCGGTGACTGGAACGCGAAACAGTAGTCTCAAGCGTACCTCGTGAGCCATCAATCTCTTTCGAAGTCAAGGGTGGTGTGGTCTGCTGATCTGGACGTGAAACCGGAGTCTCATCCGTAAATAGTGCAGATGACGCGTGCTGTTGGCTGGGACATGAGAAGGAGGTCACTGATGCATCTAGCCTGGGATTAGAAGGAAAAATAAGGATCACGCTAGTGAGTTGGACGAGTCCAGCATTAAATTTCCATTTACCATGTAGGGAACTGTCATTGACGTGTGCTGGTATGAGACTATCAATGCTGACTGTGTCCATCAACCTTGAAGGTCTTTCGTGACGATAGATCACGTGAAAAGTTCCTTCGTAAGGTTGTTGAGTACCGAATCTACTAGTAGGAAAACTTGCGGACAGGTAAATAACTGTTGAGGGAGAGCGACCTCTCGATGTTTTATTCCAGTTCACATCGAAGGAAGTATTCGCATCTACGCAGACTGTCATTGGACGTCATCCGATATACATAAAAGCGCTGCTCCGTGGTGTGAAGCAATTCCCCAGGCAGATGCAATGTCGTGTCGTATACCCAAGATGTATTTTTGATAGTCTTCGATTCTGAAAATGGTTTTTTGACAGGTAATTTTCTCTCCGATACGTTCGGAATTCATATTGAACTGAATGTTAAATTCTATCTAACTCAAATTGTACAGCAAAATCTTTTTCAGTTACTTTTTAACATTAAGTGTGTAAACAATTTTAGAGCTTTAAATGTTAATAGTGAGATCTGATAAACTAATCGCAGTAAGTCGTTCAATGCATTGATTTATTTATCTTTTCTGTGACGCTCTTCTAATTAGTATTTAGTGGTGATCATAGTCAATCTCGACGCGGTAACCATTAAAATCTAATGGTCTCAATCCCACATTTCACAGAACCTAGAAGCTAACAGTTAGAAGACTCATAAACTTTTTAGAATGCTGCTGTTTACGGATATCCAAATGCCTAGATATCCAGAAAATGGTTTATGTTGTTAAAAACGTATGTATACGACAGACACTTTAAAGAGAAAAGACAGCAGAAACCCGAAATCATTAGCAATCACCTGACAGTAATATTCAATTCAGGTTGGTAGAAAATCTCCTTCAAAACAGATCCCTGCTATCATGCTTTAGACATCAATAATAACTCCATAAATGGCACAAATTCCAAGTTTATCAGTGTGAAAACGAACACGAATAACTCGCACAGAACAAGCGTACAATATTGAGAGTTGACCTCTAACAGCAACCTACGGCTCCAGACACGAAGATCACGCTCACGCCGATTGAGCACACTATTTAGGCAAAAACCTGCAGATGCCAGTTCCCACAGATCTGATCAACCAGGTTTGATAAACCTGTGTAAAACGTTTGAGATCGGTTGTTACTGCTGAAGTTCACAAGGTGATGAAACAAGCCAGATGTCTTTGTTGCAAACGTAAGAGGACTAAGAGGTAGGCTGTTAGATATCAAGAATATGCTCTCTAAGATAGAGATAAAGATCATTAAGCTGTCTGAAAATTGGCTACTCTCCGACATTGCAAACGATGAAGTGGGTTCTTAAGACATGAAATGCGATAGAATACACAAAACAGGAGGTGGAGTATGTAAACATCCATTTCAAAGACGTAATACCACACAGCACCCGCTAAACCATGCGACAGAATCATGTTGGTCGTGCTTTAACACAAATGGCACAAAAAACTTGGTTAGAGGGATTTACTGACCCCTCTCAGGTACTAATACCAAGAAGGATAAGTCGGTTGAGGCAACATTGCAACCACCACTAAATCGGATTATTCACATTCCAAGTTTCTGATTACCACACCTCCTCAATCTCAACTAACAGGATACATCTTTCACTGATTGGTTTCAAAGGCGACTTGGTATAGCCATTAAAAGTTCCAGACTAATTGAACACATATGCCACTAGATGTAGTAAGGATATAAAATCCTCAAACATGGATTGTATGCGTACAAATGGCCAGCTCATGGTCGAGCACGTTCACGTCCATACACCAACAGGAATTAGTGATCATGACGCAGTCACGTTTAACATGATCATAAAAGAAACATTTAGAAGGGAAGGAAACGACTTCTACGTTTGTTAAACTAGGGCAGATCACACATGCTTGAGGGAGCATCTTTCACAGACAAGCCCAAACTATCTCTTAAGGTTCATGACCAAAAGAAAATACATTAACAGAGGTGATTGTACACTCAGATATGAGAATAGCGAAGATCTTATCAACCTAGAAATGGCTGAAATGTATGATGTCCATTTCGAATACTATTAGTTAAGTGCGTACGTTTTCCAAATACTACTCAGACCTAGTGACACAACTGTCTCCTCATTATTCTCCACATTACAAGTAACTGATCTCTGGCCTGTTAATGTGATGGCTGCTAAGATCCAGAAACCATCTGCCCTGAGACAAATAAATTCACGCGAATCATTAGACAATCCTACTAAATGCTTGTAACCGTACAGAGAGCACAAGGGCAACGAAATCAGTTGTTTTATACTAGCTCGTAAAAAATATACTGGACATTGAAGATATTTAGCAACAAAGAAGCGGTAATTCAATCACTTAAAATGGTCAAACGTGTTTCCGTACTCGGCTGTGGTTCCTGGGGTACTGCTTTAGTCAAAGCCGTTGCCGACAATGTCTTATTGTCGCATGAATTTTGTTCCAAGGTTGGTACTTTTTGGGGTGGTATGTTTCTAAAACATGTATAGGTCTACTGGTTTGTACGTGATGAAATATATGACAACCGAAGTTTAACTGAATGGATCAACAAAGATCATATGAATCCAAGCTATTTACCGGATTTTAAACTACCCAGCAATGTTGTTGCCTCTTCCGACATTCAGAAAGTTACTGAAAACGCTGATATTCTTTTGGTCGCCTATCCTTCGTGTTATATTGTATGGTTGGTGAACCTTGTTAAAAAGTTTGTCAAGGAAAACGCTTATTTCGTTTCATTCTGCAAAGCAAGTTTTAAAAGCATTTCACCTACCTTTTTGCCTCAATTTGTCTGACTTTGCACTGCATTAAATTTTTTTTTACATAACATATTTTATGCATTTTAAACTCCATAATAGTAGATGCTTCTTGATTTATTTGGATAAGGGCTATTTCTTTAGAGTTTATAAGATTTAAACTGAAGATCATTCCAGATCAAGTGTTTCTGTTAGTTCTATAATGCACTTTCATATTGCTCTATTAGTTTCGCTACATCTAACTCAGATAAGCGATTATCACTTCTAACTGCTAGAGCTGACAAGGCATGTTTACCATCACGGATGGGAATGGTGTAAAAACAAAAGCAAAATACTAGGTAATGGGAACCAGCAAATGGAATATACAACTGTCAGAAATGAAAGGAATTATTTGTTGCATTATTTCGCGTGGATTGTCTTAACAGTTGCTGTATTAAAGTTTTTGTAGATTTATACAGTTCATAGACTCGATGAGATGAAACCATCAAATATCTGGTTCACATTTACGATAGTTAGATAACGGTTAATTATATTGTTTTACCAATGACAACACTTACAACTTGTCTATACTTGAGAAGATATGAGCATTGTCAATTGTTAACATTTGTTTGAATAAAACTCATACAATTGTACTTTGATTCATTTGCCTAGGACCAAGGTAAACTATATAGTGTATAACTGTTTAGATTTGAGATAGTTTTATCTTTCATTAAGAAGTAACCACCCAACTGCTTACTATTATATAAATGGTTTTTTTAAATTTTTAAGACGTTCGATCCATACCGTGAGCAAAGGTATAATGCTTTATAAAAGATTATTATCACTATTTTATTCCTGCTGTCGCATACTGCAATTAATTTATCCATAGTCCTCCTTTGAATTTGAAATTAGCGATAGATTTTGAGAGTTTCGTATATTTTCAACTCAAGTAAAATAATATAATCGTAAATAATAACTTGATACTTGATACTTTTTGTTATTTAGGTAGGTTGTTTCATTTATTTTATTACAGTTCAGCTACTCGTTACCCAGTACACCGAAATCGATGTTAACGCAAAGTGATAACCGAACACGTAACTCACTGAGAAACACTAAACCTAAGTGTACATTAAAATATTCCCTTTGAACTAAAAATGTCCCGAAGTGTCTCAAACACTTGATTCTGTAAGTTTTTGATTTATAAGCAGGAAACATACAAGTGTTTAAAAATGAAGATGTTTGACTGCAAGAAGCAGAAGCAGATCTATGAAAACGTATGTAAAATTAATTACTGACCAACTGAACAGACTACAGATCTTTGTCAAACTAACTATATGTTACTGTTTTTTGAAAAGTTGTCATGCATATGTTTGATTGAATACTGCTTGTTGATAATAATTCTTTGAAAGGTAGCTATGAGATTTGTTTTTTGCGGCTAGTTTATTATTCACAGTCTCCCTCTTCACAGCTGGTCTTAACTCATTCATGTAAAACTGTTATTTTTTTATTTTATGACGTGATGTGGTTAGGTGTGTCTGTATATGCACTACATGTGCTTCAAATATATTATTTTCATAGTGGAGGCTGATTAATATGTTCTGAACTTAACAAACGGCATAAATAGAGGATTATGGATCGATAAAATATTAGCTTCCAACTAAAGATCATTTGCATTAAATTGCATTGTGAAATCAATCAAAGTTAAAAAGTCATCAAAATTTAGTAAGAATTTTATTCTCACATCAATCTGATAATCCTCGATAAAAGCCCATGGTGTTTTCTGGTGACTACGTAGCTTTTTCAAGTACCTTTGCCCGATATACGAGCAACAGAATCTGATTTCTTACTATAAAAGTGTTATCTTAATAGAGACATTGAAATTCAAAGGTAACTGTTTGAGTGTGACTCTGTAAAATTTCATTTTGTTATTAGGATAAATGGAAGGTAATTTAATTCACGATAAAATATTTTGTTCATGAATGTGCAATGACTTGAATACTATTAATTTTATCCAATAATCTTGAAACCAGTCTGATAAACTCTTGTATTTATGCGTTTATTTTGCCTATTTCATTGCAATATTTTCTGAAGAGACCATATAACCACATTTTATATCAGCTAAACGCCTTCCGTTTCAAACTCACTAGAATGTAAACAACAGAGAAATCTAGATAAGAACTCAAATGTTATCAACTAAGATGATTTATGGTAAGTTTTTAATTACAAAAAAATAATTCACCTAAATAATTAGACAAATACAAATAATTCAAATCGAAATTTTAATAATGAAGAGAAATAACTGAAAAGTAATAGACTGTCAGTATTATAAATTTTTTGCAACACTAATAAACTAAAAGGGCAATTGTGAGGATACATATTATGCCTGATCAATCGTTAATAGGCTAAATCTTTAAAACAATTAAAAGGTATACTGGTATGAGAAATCACAGATAAAACAATTTTATTTTAATAAATAATAAACCTTCATTTCTGAATCCGAATTTTTTTAAACTTATTATCAACTTAATGCGTGTAGGATAAAGCGTATTTGAACATTTTTTTCCAAAATGACTCACTATTATTATTGTTCTATGGAACAGATACGTAAATGTCTTGAGTCGATTGGTTTACAATGAAAATCGTAGACATATATAAACTAAGTGAAATTATGGAACAAATGAATTATTTAAATGTGTTACCGAATCGATTGAACGAACCTTAAACAAGTATCAAGACTTACCGATCTTCAACAATACCAAGAAAAAAAGTCTAAACCATAGCTGTCAAAATATCAGTACTTTCATCAAAAATAAGGAGAAAAAGTTTCCTTCGATTATCAAAATACAATGACAGGTGAATGACATACTACTATTTATCACTTTAATAGTCTTAACAAAAGAAATCGTTTATACCACTTGTAACACTGACTAGAAGTCTTTATAACATCGATTTCGAGTTTAAGCGTTTCTTTTATGTATCCCTTTATTTCTTAAAAGGTAAGAATAAATCTTCGACACGATGACTATTATTATTATTGTGATGTGCTATAGAGTATGTTTAGTTTGAAGTTTCCTATTACAAACCGACACCAGTTATACAACTATTGATAACCCGGAAGCACATTTTGATTTTTTGTCTCAGTAAGGACCCATTAGCAGTACACATCCACAAACCCAGTACCTTCAGGCCTCATGGCGTGTCCTTAACCTTGAGATTGCTAACTTAATATCAACTGATTTACATTTCTAATTTAACCCGCTTTGCAAGATTACTTCACTCGAACGTAACATAACTGAACTCTCCTAGTCATAGGTTCCCAACGAGGCTTCGGATATTATCTCACGAACTTTGTTTCCTATAGTTACATAATGCTTGGAATTATTCACTAACGAGGAGACTTTTGATCAATTTTATTTATATTTTTTGCTCTAAGGATAACATTAAGGTTCATAAACAATTGTTCTATCAATTATCTCTTTTTCTAAAAATTTATTTTGCCGGATTTTGTAATCTTTATTAATGTAGGGTCTGATTTTATGTCCTGAAGAAAATAGGATCAAATTGGTTAGCGATCTTATACGAGAACAAACCGGTAAACGTTGCGTTGTTGTTATTGGAGCAACAACAGCCCTTGAAGTGGTTAAAGAACAATTCACTGAAGTAACTATTGGATCTCGTAACCTTGAATGTGGACGTGAAGTTAAAAGACTTCTTCAGGTAAATTTAGTCTGATATTATACAAGTTTCTGAAGACGTTTTGCATTGATTCTAATTAAAACATTCACATAACACTGTTTATACCATGACTATAAGTACAGAAAATGTTTGCACGTGAGATATCAAAGTTTGGCTTGAATTCCTGAGCGAAAATGTTTAGGAAGTTTGATTATATTCAAACTATATGACGAAATAGTACATAGAATCTTTTAGTTTTTAGTATACTGGTGATTTGATCATCATTTTGTCTCAATCTTTATTATCGAGTTCAGCAGCCATTCAATAATTTGAATTATTGAAAAAGGAAGGACCAACAGGTGAAATCTCCATAAATATCATTTTCTTTAGATTTGAATGTGATCAGTGATGTTTGCTTATCGATAACGTAACTCATCATACTGAAACATTAAAAATTAATATTTAGGGAGATTTGAGGAATGTCACCTTAATACTATTAACTTTATCTTGATATTTTTTAAATGTAATTTATATTATCAGTTTTTCAATTGTTTTCTACAACACACACAGACAGATTATATGAAATTAGTTATAACTCAAGATGATGTTGGTGTTGAATTATGTGGTTCATTGAAAAATGTCGTGGCGATAGCAGCAGGAATATGTGATGGTCTACAGTTAGGTGATAATACTAAAGCAGCTGTATTACGAATCGGTTTCTGGGAGGTGTCTGTATTGATGAATGAATTATTTCCTGATCGAGGTTAGGATGACCTTTGTGTTATTATTATCTTTTTGATTGTTTTGAATTAATTTCACTTTGAAAAAATGAATAGATTTCCGACAGAAGAAACTGTCAACATTGATGAGAAGTGTAAAATCCAATTCATGGAATTATGTTCAGAGGTGTTGCTTCTTCTAGGTTTATAACTTTGCAGTAGTGGATACTCACTGTCATATTCAAGTGATATACAAGATTATTTTGGATCCTGATAATATAGACTTCCGATCATGGCCATCTGACTTACTCAAATAAGGTATATATAATTATACCTTGCGTCCAAAACGAAAATTAGTGTGGTTGTCTCTCAGCAACACTTTATATGCTAAGACTGGTACTGCGGTTCGCTTGCGCGAAACAAAATAGGTAGAGTAGCATTTTACTACCAAAAATCGAGCGTCCAGGTCATTAACGTTCCTTACTCACGCAAGTTAACGGTAATCTACAACCGACCATGCAAATGATTTCGTATGCTGGCATAGTCAGTTTTTCTTTCGTTAAATGGTTTCAGATAACTGGCAATACACTTTACTTGATCTGAGTTTCAAGCCGTTTGGCGACTGTCAGCACAGCGTGTTCACAGTCTTGAGCCGATCGATATTGCCTATTAAAGCTGAACTCTTGCTAATTAGCTTCACAGTTTGAGACGTTACCCCTGAGATATACAAAACATATTGGTAACGCCGTAGACTGATGCTGAACGATATAAGTCTGGATCTCACAATCAGTATTAGCCCCTTTAAAAGTGAACGTTTATTATGCTGATGAGTGCCATCTAGCACAAAACCTAGATTTAGGGCGTCTCATTCGTCACTTCAAACCACCTGATATCAAAATATAGTACAAGTTGTATCGAGCCATTCAGACTGACAGCAACGTAAAAAGTCAATCTAGAGAACTAAATCAGCACTGAAGGTGGGACCAGACAAACATAACAGTGTTCACTACTCAGTGACCAATTAACTGTATTGATTCTTTGTTTCACTAAATGAAAAAGAAAACTTCGTTAGAATTTTGATAATTTACAATAATATACAAATAAGAGAAATAAATCGCTTTCATGAACAATTTCGTTTTTTTAGAAAAAAAAATACAATTATCATTTTTATTTATTAAATATGCAGTTCAATTTAATTTGTACATGTTCCATTTCCAAATTTCGGTTACACACGTATCAAGCACCATGTATATGAGTGAATAAAAATTTTTTTGAAAATTATTCAAATAATCAATTTAGATCAATTTAGATAATACATACATATCCAACCAAAAGGGTGTGGTGATTCAAAATCACTAATTCGTCAAATATATTGGATGGTTTCTATTTTCGAAAAACATTAATATAGGTCAATCACTCATATCATATTATCATAAATGGATTAAATTTGATAAATTTTTTATTTGTTAATCATCGAAACTTATAAACTAATCCTTAAGATTTTAAGTATCGTAATTTCAACTATATCTGAAAAGTTTTATGCTTTACATGACAAATTAATCTTAATTAAACTACTATTGAAAATCATAAAACAGTGAAAATTTGTTTTATCCGGCTTAAAAAATTCCTCAGCCATACTGAGGATAGTACCCAAGAACTTTAGGTTACATTGCAATCAAGTGACGTTTAGATCACCAAGGAGAGACATTCAATATAGCTTACACTTTTAATTTTAATAAAACTGCAATCGTTATTATTATTATTGCATTGGAGCCCGAATGGAGTTGTATAATCCGATGATATTTTTTACAGACTTAAATCAATTTGAAATTTTTATCTATTTAAGAAAAACCATTAAAAATAAGTAATCTGACATAATCAGATGCAAATATCGACATTCAATGAATTTAGGTAAATGATATATCTTCATGCTTATATGAGAATTTTTATTCAGATGAACAGTGAACTGCCACACATTCTCATGGTAACTATCATTTATAGTATGTGGTTAGTACCACCGGTTGTGCGTGTGTGTGTGTGTGTGTGTAAGAAGAAAGAACGGAGTAAAATTTCAAACAGAAGATATAAACTGATCATTCACTGCGATCGAAACAGAGCATTGATCAAGAATACTAAAGAAACACAATATATCAATTTGTAATACTGTAAACAATAAGGATTTTTTTTCCACTAAGAAAAACACTACTACTCAACAGCATTGGATCAATATTATATAGTGATCGAAATGAGCTACATTACTTCACAGATTCTCAACAATCATGTTGGAGAATGAATGACTGAATGAATAAATAAATACCATCTGCCTAATCACTGCTAAAACTTCACATTATTCTACTGTTGATAATCAATCATTGTGAATTATGCGCATTCCTTGCAGATTATCACGACATAGAAATTTGACAAGTAATCATAATTTAGTACAGTGGAATAATTCAAATCCTAACTAATAATCATAGAAACATCATAGCCGTTGAATAAATTAGTGTCTATCTGAACTCAGTGGCTCAATGTTGGTATTGGTTTTTGATGCTCAAGGTACTGAATATGCACCTCAGTGTAACCATTACCTCTGGCTATCAGTACACAGAAGTGAAGAGTCTCAATTAGGATTGAATGTTGGATTCCACTATTAGGCATAATATTTCTATCCCAGAAAACATCACTTGAACTATTCGTTTGTGTTAGATTTTACTCTGCAGAAGGGACTTTTCTGGAACACAGAGAAATTTAGTTACTTTTAAAGACTTATTTATTTTCCTAGTTTGGAATCACAAACTGAAGTTAGTTAGACAACCATTGAAAACCTGGAAGCATTGAACAATAGGTTCGTTCTATTATAGGACTCTTCAGATTGTCTCGTTAGATGATGAATCGCTTGAGATTAGACATCCATGTTTGGGTCCAGGTTCAGTGGTCTAAAGGTTAGCTGTTTGCGTGTAAAGACGGAAGGTTATATATTAGATTTCTGGTTCCTAATTAATGAATGCACACTTCTGAGAAGTCCTATACTTGAACGAAATGGCCATTTAGTGCGTTCCGGCTATCACTGGTGGTCTAGTCAAAATCAGTTCGTGATTCAAACTATGACAATTCCCTTATTTCCACAAAACTCTAAATTGATATTTATTTATAAAAACATAAACAGGTACCAACTACTTGACAATAGAGCAAAGTTGTGGAATAGCTGAATTATTTATGTGTAAGTTAATGATTGTTTTGAAATTATATTAATGAAGAATGATTTTTTTATACAGTGTTCATTCAGTATCAGTATGCTATCAAGTTACTTAATGACTACGTGAACAGCTTCATTGACAGTATTCAATCATATATATTTTATGAGCCTAAATTAATGATGGCTTACTGAACAAACACTTGAATTTCAATTCAAATATTTCTCGTATGAGCCTGCAGTTATCTATGTTTATTCAGTAAGCCGAATAATATTGTTAGACGTTATATAAGCGGTTTTGTAGTTAATCATTAATTAATCGTAGAAAAAATTAATTATTTCATAGATCTTTTCTGGAAATTATTGTAACTGATAGCTGATACTGATAGATAATCGTCCTTTTTTACAAGCTCGGTTACTTATGGGAAAAGATGAAGAAAAAGTTGGGAAGTTTATTCAGGCCAGAACTAATACATATTCTCTAGAAATTCAGAACTTTCAAAGTGAGGATAAAAACTTTAGTGTCGTTCGCCATTGTGACTTTATACACGACTAATCAAAATGATCATTTCTACTATCGTAGCCTAAGATGTGCACCATTTTTCGTTCTGTATGGTTTTTAATGGTTAATCAGCGTTAAACCAGTGTTTGGTGTTCTAATATTAAGGTGGGTGAGATCAGAGTACGTAGATTATCCCCTTCTGTATTAATTATCATTTTGGTGATTATTGATTGCTCCACCGTATCATAAATCAATTCAGTTGTTTGATCAAGTTTCTTTATTCAATAATTTTTTTAAAAATGTCACACATTTCTCATTAATTCACTTTGAAATTCACTTGTAAAGTTTTACACACTAGTTATTTTATTATCATTTATATTTTTATTAGTTTTGTTGATAGTCAACTGTATTATGAGTGAAGTGAACTTCAATATCCTGTATGGATTAGATTGACATTTAACAAAATTGTATACTATCTGTCCATGCTTAGATATTAGGGTTAAGTAGTTCTTTCAAAAAAACTAATAAGTGTTTCGCTTTCTCAACTTCAAAACTTGTTCATTAGATTTATGAATGAATTAAATGAGAATTTACGAAACAGTTTACAGCGAATTTCAGTCATTTCATATTATGTTGTGTGATCAGTCAGGGTTGGAATTCTACTTGAAATCAGACATAAACTAAGTAGGATAAATTTTAGTAGAAAAAACACGGCAAACAGAACAGGTTGATTTGTCCTCTGTAAAATAATATTGAAAAGTTTCACTTTAGTCATAACTAGACGCTGATAATGTTGTTCAGAGAAAGCAGTCGTTATTAAATCCTTCTGCCTATAGAATGTAACACCGTCAAAATCGATAGTATTTAGTAACATCAGAGGTAGTGTAAAACTTCAAGGAACAAACCGGTAGTCATAAATTAAATATATAATGACAAAAAATCAATGTCACGTTCTAGCATTGAAACAACTATCATTGATCGTTATTTATCATCTTCTGCATTGATAATATCGAATGTCAAATAATATCTCACCGATGTTTTGCTTTAATTTCATTAACCTTGGATGTTTTAAAAACTATTCATACAGTAGTTCATGTTCTGCTCAAAAACAGAATGTGGATAAATAGGATTTACATATTCTTTAAGCGCCTACATCAGTGGGTAAGTAATTTTTCAAAGAATTTCTGAAGCTTTGAATACTGATTCATTTTGTGGAAGCAGTTATTTACAATAGAGAATAATATTAGATAGATAATTATTGCAAACCAGAGAACATTAAATTGTTGTTTTATCTTAGTGAGACACCTTAATAGTTTACTCTGACCAACCTACACTAAACTGAAAAATGTCAATGGACTACAAGATAGATTATAATTAGGAATCGCGTGACAATAATGGTCTAATAAATATTCGTTTCAATAAAACAATTCAAACTAGTTCACTGACGAAAATCTAGCTGTTCAACTTGAATGTTTCTTACTTCTCCCATTAAAATTACGACGGGAATTTAAGCCTAATTATTTTTACTAAGAAGATTTATTTCCATCCTTCTTCCACTTCTAGGCATGTCTCATAAATCGGACGACATTGTCGATGTAGGAGCAGATCTAGATCTATTGAATATCACTTTTGGAAGACGATTATCCAGAACTGATACCAATAGATTATCAATGAGTTCAATAGCTAACAAAATACCATACAGAACTTTTGTAGACGGAATTGAATATGCAAAACAGGTAATTGGTTTTTTGCTGATGTACGAACACACTTTTAAACAGTTTTATAATTCAATTGAAGAAAAGTGCTTCTAGTTTCAGTGGGAACACTGAGAAGTAAATATATCTAAATGACAAGAATTGTTTAAGCTCACACAAAATGTTTGAATTTTCTGGAAAACAGTATGGGACATCCGCTAACTGAATGATTACAATTACGTATAGCATACATACAGGTTTTTTCAACCATACTCATCTCTGCAATTGATTTAATTTATCAAAAAAGCTCAGTTTTAAGATACTTGTATAATAGAATAACTTTGTAGGCGAGCAATGTTACTTAGTTATTTATGACGCATTTAGATACTTTAGATAATTTCAACTATATAAGAAGAATTATTTATCAGAATTATTCGCCATATAAATATAATCGTATATATTAAAGTTCATAGGCTGGAAGGATCTAGACAAATTAAGTGGTTCTGCTCAAATACACTCTTCAGACCTAAGGGTAAGTAGAAAATAAAAAAGGAGACACGTTATTGTAGGAAGCTGATTATGCTTTTAGTCAAGATCTCGTTCTTCATAGCCTTGTCTGAGTTAACAGAACATTTGTATGAATCTCTATGATTTGTGTACTTATTCGTGTATTTTCTTCATTAAATCTTCCTGGTCAATCTTTACATTTTTATAACTGGTTGAACAAGCTTACCAGAAGTGTATGTATTTGAGTCGAACCCGGTGGAACATAAACTTATTATTCATCAGAGACTAGAGTCAGATGGAAGAGAACTTGAACTGATGTACGTACGTACGAAGTTCTACATTGTTGATTGATTGATTGGAAAAGAAAATACCAACAAAGACTGAAAGTTGAAATCCTTAAATATAGAATAAACTAATGCAAAATAAAAGAACGGTTAAATAATATAGTTCGTTATGCCAAACAGTATACATGTTATAATCTGATTTTCAGACCAAGATATATAAGGGGAGGGAATGTAACTTTAAAACATAGGAAGTTACTTGTAGTCAAATGAATGAAGCTCATCAAAAGCTATATCATTCTTTCTCAGTTTCAAAAGCAAAACAGTTGGCACTAAATAATGAGATTGTTTAACAGCTGACATCCTAATTTTTAACAGAGGCATGAGTTTTTTCCATTCAAAAAGAGTTTATAGAATAGATAGATACTAAACGTACGTCATGAAGTTCTCTTATACCGCTTCATCATCAACATACTTTCTCAAATCGGAATTCTACACTGACCGAATTAAAATATCCAAAGAAAGATCATAATTTTCTACAGTCCATTGATCCAGAAGCAAGCTACAATTTTCATAAATATAACATAATCCTAATTAACATTTAACCAACTGTATATTTTAAGGTTAATTATATGGGAATAATCGGGATTTATTTAACTAGAACACTAATCAAAATCAAAGATTGCAGGAGATTAAATGTTTTAACCACTTATATTTGGTTATGTTTAATTCCTACTCTATTCATTGTTATGAAAATGATAATAAGCCGGTAAAATAATGTATTTTTAATGAGCTAATCATGATCTTTATTTCCGTCTGAAAGTATGATGCCATTGTTGCAACCAGGAATTAAAAGTGCAGGTAGTCAATTATAATAATAACCAGCTTTCCACAAAACAGTTTACAGCATTTTCGTACAGCCCCTACGCTCAACCACTGCAAATAAGTGAAGGACAAAAACGTTTGCTAGTATTTACGACACTGAAGAAATGTAAGTATGGAAGAAAGCACTTACACAATACTGGTTCTGTATTATACAACAAAGAAAATATGTTCCAAAGGACTTATATAAACAAATATTAAAGATAAATAAATTTATTTATCAATGTTGTAGATCAGAAAAACGGAACGATACTCTGTTTACAAGCGATCAGGTAAATCAAAGCACTCACGAAAGCACATCTAAACCACCACGGATTTAACCAAGACCTTATGGTTCAGTTTAATAAATTTCATTAAAGCCAGGCAAATATATTATGCTATAGTTGGAACTCGACTGAAAAAAAATACTAATAATGTCTTCTGTACTAAAAACTAATGTGCTGTCCATGTTTGGATAGAATAAAAGCGATGAGTTTATAAATAACTTGAAGTTCACTATCATATAGAAAGGATACTAGTTGAATTCTCGCCCATATACAACGAACATCACGTCTAATTTTACTAACTCTATCGATTGGTGTAGATTTTCAACTTCAGTCAATCGGTAGTGAGTAATCCGACCATTAATCGGTGAAATCGATAAGGACTCTATCATTCTTCATACAACTGAAATCCATTTCAACACCCAATAAAAACGAATTTCGGTCTACTTTATGCCTACTATTCACCTGTATAGCATGCCTATTATCATTTGTTTTGATCCGCTTTAAGAAACCGTCTTGTCATAATCATATTTGTTTTCTTTTCAAGATATACAGTATCTTAGCTGACAGACGTCGTATTGAACATTTTCCCTTATTCGTTGCTGTTCATCGTATTTGTCAAAGTGAAATAAAACCACAGGAATTAATTACATGTTTGCAATCACATCCTATTCATGCTTAGCCATTACTTACGAGTAACAAATCAAAGTAAATACGATGTATACAAATTTATACCGTCATTTTGTGATTTCTGCTATTTTGAACTTCTGTTTTCGTCTTTAAGTATAAACATTGGGAGATGGAATTTCATTTATTTGACTATTGAAAAAGAAGCTCTCATCCTTCCTACTTCCGTACAGCTATATATGAAAGGAAACTATAAAACCTTTTATTTCCTTTAATGTACTTTGTTTAACTAACTTAACTAGTCTGTTTCATTATTTCATTTCATAATTTTCTAGTCACAAGGAACAAAATTAAATATGATTATGTTGCAATTTTTATAAATAAATTCGACTAATTACTATGGGACATTGACCACTGAATTATATCTTACAGTACAATACGTTTTTGTTAGATCTTGAGATATTTTCTGTATCTAGCTGTTCGTCTTTGATAAGACAAGTTTTCTGTGTTAATTATGAACTAATTAGCCAGTTTGTCTAAACTCTTATGAATAAATATTTTGATAAGATAATTAAAAAAAATTTAATCCTAGTTATGTCGTAGTCATATGAGATATTGATAAATATTAGTGATGATGAAGTCAGCGTACTGCGATTACGTGCAGCAAAACGTTTTCGTAACTAATCTCTAAGTTAACCTGGAATATTATGGTATTTCACTTTTTTATCTATTAAAACTGATACGATGTAAAATCAAAACTTATATGATTCTTAAAACTTACAAAGAAATATCATTTTCTTGATGATACCAATATTTATACATTTTATAAAAATGATGATCACTTTTCTGTAATCAACGGGGAATATAATGCGACAAACATAATGGAACAAATGTCACATGAACACAGTCTAATAGCATAAACTAATAGAAACAACATCTGTGTTGGATTTTTAAAATAGTTACTCAACCATTACAACAGTTAATACTTAAAAATTAATGACAATGATTAAAACTTAGTGTTTAAGAAGTGTTCTATTCAACATGAAGAATAGAAATACTTAGTCTATAGAAAAAGCACTGAATATTATTTTATCTAAACGAGAATTTTAAATTTGAATATGTGCGCTAGATTAAATGATCAAATTCTAAAATCAATATGGATATAAGTACAATTATCTGGACTATAACATTCTGTTCTGTATATACAACCTTCCACTGTGTTACAACGCTTACTGTATTCACAAATTCACTGACCGCCAAAATTATCCTCTGTAATCTACCACTCAACACTGTTGAAATTTTCATGTCTTAAAGTACCTCTTTAGTTTCGCAGTTCAAAATCAGCAAGCCATTAAAAGTTTTCTGTTTTATTTTACAATAAAAAGGAAATAAGACTTAGATATATGCAAAAACATTGAGAAGCAATAAAATTAGTCAAATAAATACATATAAATGTTAGTATAAACCATTGAAGTGAACATAACACAAAGTATGGATAAAGAATAACAATACGAAACGAGTATCAAGACAAAAGAGACACAAAACAGAAAGACATGATGTGTAGTTCGTTGGTCAAAAAAAATAAACATATAATTCACAAAAAAATCACTGCATTTTAAAATATTCCAGTAAAGAACGTTGTTGTTGATGTCCTGTGCAAACAACAGATGAAGCCTTTTTCGACTGATTTTTTTGACGATTAGAATTTTTAGTATTTTGTCGTGATCTTCTTTCACACTTGTTCATTGCTTGAGACTCTAATTTACTACTTTCACTAACAACCGAGTCAGTGTGTACATTACTAATGTCTGAGAATAAAAGCATAATAAAAAAATTTTCATCAGAGCAATGAATTACTTTTTAAACAATGAAATTCAAAATGAAATTAGTACTGGAAAAAAATGACACTAATACTAATAGTATAGTTAAAAGTTATCATATTATGTACTGTGTTACATGTTCGATCTAAAATAAAAGTGCACAGAAACATTTACTATTTGAATAAACATGTCAACTTACACATTTCGAATACAGCTTTCATGTTAATAATGTATCATTCATAGTTTAACTTCTCTCAGCTAACAAAAAATGAACCCTCTATTTAAATTTATATCAATGAGTTACACTTCTCGAACCATATCTTCTATTGCTAAACTTTTCCATTACCGCTAATATTGCTACAACCCCTACTAATCTGGGATTTGGACTGATAATTTCATCTCTATGCTAATTAGTACTTGGCAACTCGAATTGATGTACCAAATTCTACGTTCCAGCTGACAGAGTGGCCGACCGATTGTACACTTCAGAAACAACAGTGAATGAACAAAGTCGGATACAACTTAATGGCCACTAAGTGCATGCGCTTTACAAACAAAGAGATAACATAGTGAATAAATGAGCACTTATAGGAGACAGTTGGTTGATCAAATTTTTATAGCGGTCTGTGATACATCCCCCCATTAGCACTTAAAAACATATACGTACAGTCAAATGACACAATTAATAAGTCTTATAAATGCTATATCTAAAAATTATTTCAAGTTCTACCGTATATTAATTTTCTAAATGTGAATGATCACAAAGTAAGTTTCGATTGAATACTACATCTTATCTGTATGTTTCACAAACCGCTAGCAAAACTTGATCAACCTAATTTTTTTTCTACAAATGTTCAGATGATAAAATAGCTTTATTGGTCAAAGCAAATGGACTTTCCAACTTAATGATAGAATTCTTAAGTCTGAATATTATATTGCGTTTCATTCAAATAATGATACTAGTGTAGTAGATAATACTCGCAAAGTGGCTTACAAGTAGTACGTAGTGGAGTATCAGTCTGAAGTTACTACTCAAATGAGGAATGTTGGATCTGGATGTATGACCCAATTATAATGAAGACAGCCAATTATTATTATTATTATTGTCATAATTAACCCAGGCATATCATGTATCTGCGGACACATAACGCCACAATATTAAACGATCAGTGGAGGAGAATCGTAACAAAAGACAATATATGTGGTTGCCTACGCCAGAATGACAGATATATATATATATATATATATATACCCATGGGTTGTGCACACTTGAATCGGGTTCAGCGACAACACATTCACATTAATTTCAGTCTCCTTATTCAATACAGAGGGTTTGGGCTACCAAAAAGCAAACATAAACACGAGAATAGCGAGTTAGTTTTCTGTATTTGATGAGGTAGTGATGATGGCGAAGATACTGACAAAACCTGTTGACAAGTCAACATAGAAAACTACTGCTTTTTGTCTTACCACTGATTTTGCTGTTGTTTTCTGTGAATAACGTTCTTGATCGTTTATTGTTCATACTGGATAATTTAGTTGGAGTTCCATGTACAGAATAGCCTTTACTAAATTGGTTATAAATTAGAAAAGATAATTCTGAAAAATTATTGAGCAATCTTAGAAAGACATGAATAAAAAATTAAGCTAATACGAAATAAGCATGAACAAAAGAATTCATATAGTGTTTGAAAAATTATAGTGTTGCATACAAGTACACAGTCATAAATATCACCAAAGCATGAAAGGTCATAAGGAACACTAGGCAAAAGCAGAAGTCAGTTGGTAAAGCAGTAAGACTTCGATGACTAAGATGGTTGCGACATGCTATACGAATGCTCAACTACTGCGGACCTCGACGTACTGATGTATAAATAAGTGAGAAGAATTTTAGGGGAGCCTAAGCCAAGACATGACATCTGACCATGAAGTCAGAGACTGTTGGACCACGCCATGTCGACTGATAAGGACTACTTGGTTGGAGTTTTCGTGATTATCGTAACCATTGATTGAAGACGTTAAATGATATAGCTCAGAATAAGTTGCAATAGTGAGGATCCACTCACCTAATGTCTTCTTTTGCATCTTGGACAGGAAAACGATTTCATATTTCTCTAATTTATTTTTTTCTCTAATCGTACTGTATATTTCTAATTTCTATTTACTACCATTGATTTTATTACTACTTCTGCTGCTTCTTTCAGTCAGTCAGTTGCAACGTAGAACTTCGTACGTATGTACATAAGTTCATGTTGCCATACCACAGCACAAAGACGCAAATGTCAAATCAAATCCCATAGTGATAAAGATAGTAGAGGTATTTATGTTAATAAAAAAGACTAGGGTTCGAAGATATTATTCAAGAAATATAATTCAGTGAGATAAGGTTACAAAGACAAAGGTAGAGGTGCTGGCTAATCCAGAAGATTAGGATTTGAGAGAGCTCAAAGAGTGGATGCACCTGCGCCATTGCAAACGATTTTGAGCCATGTCGTTCAAGGTCTCTAACCATTGATGACTTTCGTCTCGCGGACCCCAACCAGGTAGTCTACATCTACCAACATGACTCAGTCCACTTGTCAGTGACTTCATGGATTTCTGCCATGTTTTGGTCTGGCCGCCACTAACTTTCTTCCAACCTACTCCTACACCACAAAACATAGCTCGTCGGGGCAGTCGGTGGTTAGGCATACGTAACACATGTCCCAACCACCTCAACTGATGAAGTTTCACCACTTCATCGATTGATCTGCCATCCTTACCTAGTAATCGTTTCCTAACGACAGCATTGCTTACTCGGTTGTCCCACGATATACGAGCAATGCTTCTTAAACATCTATGATCGAATACTAGTAACCTACGAACATCTTCTACTCTCACTGGCCATGTTTCACAGCCATATAGGAGAATGGAGCAAACTGCTGCACAGCACACTCGTCCTTTGATTGGAAAACGGATATCACGCCTACACCATAAGTGACGCAGGTTGGCAAAAGCCAATCGAGCCTTCTGTATCCGAGCTGAGATTTTGTCAGTCACCAGGCCGTCAGCACTGACGAAACTCCCAATATAAGTGAAGTGGTCTACACGCTCGACTACTTCACTCCCTATCATTAGTTCAGGTGCCAATGCAACCCAGTCTTGAAGCAACATTTTGCATTTCGAGGGTGAAAACCGCATCCCGAACATGCTCGCATTGTTGCTTAGGGTAGTCAGAAGACTCTGCATTTTGTCAGCGTCTTCACCGAATAGAACTATGTCATCGACATATTCTAGATCAGTAAGCGACTTTCCTCGTAGAAGGTCAACCCCTGAAAAATCTGACGAGCTTAATGTTAACTCTAAGAGGATGTCTACGACAAATTTAAACAAGAATGGACAGAGTGGACATCCCTGACGGACACCACTTGAAGTAGAGAATTCAGATGACAGTTCGCCATATGCTCTTACTCGACCAGTGGTGTTCGAGTAAAGTGTTTGTATAAGGTTAATGTACTTCTTTGGTACACCCTTCAATGACAGACACTGCCACAGAAACTCACGATCCACTGAGTCAAATGCCGCTTTTAGGTCCAGAAAAACAACTATTGTAGGACGCCTAAATGTGTGTTTGTGTTCAAGGACCTGTCGTAGTGTGGAGATGTGGTCTATACGACCACGTCCAGGTCGAAAACCAGCCTGGTTTTCTCGAGTCTGCTCTTCACGAGCTCTAGTTAGACGTCTAAGTAGAATCGAGGCTAACAATTTAGAAACTATATTAGTTAAACTTATTCCCCTGTGATTGTCACAAGAGGACTTCTGTCCTTTCTTGTAGATTGGGACAATTAGCGACTGAGACCAGTCAGATGGGATTACGTCCAGTTCCCAGATTCTACCTAGGATCTCGGTCAGTCTAACCGTTAAAACTGGACCACCATCCTTAAACATCTCAGGGGTAAGACTATCGGGACCTGCCGCTCTACCTCCCTTTAGAATTTCTATAGCTTTCTCAACTTCATGTAAACTGGGAGGACTTAAATCGATTTGCCATTCAAGATGACTGGAGATCGTGGGTAACCGAAGTGTGGCTCGAGGCCAGCTGAACTGATCCCTAAAGTGTTCTGCCCATCGATCCAGTCTCCTGGATTGAGAATGGATAATAAGACCATCCTTTTCCGAGATAGTCTCACTCACATTCGGGTTCTTAATACCGGTTTCTTTAATAAGGCGGAAAAGTTGTCTAGTGTTGCCGATCGCCGCTGCCTTTTCCATCGCTTTTGCTTTCGCCACCCACCACTGTTCACGGTCGTTACGAAGGCTTTTCATAAGTCTGCGCCTAAGCTGACTACGCTCTTCATCATGTTCAGAGTCAGGTGGGATGCGTTTTCGAGCATCCATCAGTTCGGTGGATGCGACTGATATCCACGGCTTCATCCTAGCCTCATGGTTTACCTTCCTAGCAAATATCACTGCTGTTTCCACAGCCTTCTTGATATCATACCAACCTGCTTCTAGATGGGAATCACTTACATCGTTGCTTAACTCTGTTTCTAGTTCATCCTGAAATATTTTCTTAGTTTGATTATCACCAAGTAAATCCCCAAGAGGCTTCCTTACGGTGTCTTTCCTGCGTCCAGCAAGCCTCAAACAAATACGTGCTCGCACTAGGGCATGATCTGAATCTAAACATGTGCCCCAGAACGAGCGACAGTCCTCTATCGAACCCCTCCATCGGTGGCTGATGGCGATGTGATCTAGTTGTGTCCAACGTTGAGACGACTTCGGGGGTCACCAGGTCAAAAGATGTTTTTCCTTAAGCTTAAAATTAGTGTTTGCTAGAAATAGTTGGTTATCTGAGCACAGTTGCAACAGACGGTCACCATTGTCTGTTCTTTGAGCCGCGAGACCGTAACATCCACCTAGGTGTCTTTCATTTTCACTTAGTCTACCTACTTGTGCATTGAAGTCACCAGCCATTATAACTATATCAGAGCGCTTAACTTTTTGGAGAAGGTCCGAAAGCTTTCTGTAAAACTCATCTTTTACATCATCTGGGCTGCAGTCAGTGGGGGCGTAGGCTGATATGACGAAGAGGCAACGACGAGTGTCCCTATCTTAACGAGCCCTTACTGTCCCGTTCAGTCGGACGGCGCACAAGCGACTATCTACAGGGATCCAGTCAAGGAGAGATTGTTCTGCCCTAGGACTCAACGCTATGCCTACACCGGCGAGGCCCCTAGAAGCAGCATCAGGGCTACCAGATACACGAAGGGTAAATCGAGCTGCTTCTTTATTTTGACATGGTGAGGTCAAATGAGTGATGCTACTCGGATCCTGTATGCGCGTTTCCGAGACGCAGCACACATCGATGGAACGAGATTCTAAAGTCCTAGCTAATGATGCCTGTTGCCCTATTTGACACAATGTCCGTACATTGAATGCTCCAACATGTGGTCTAGAACGGGGTTTAAGGAGATCAGGAACGACGTTTCGCAAACTCGCATCGTTTGCATTAGCTGTGCACTGTAATAAATGAATGTGAGAAGAGTTAGTTGTGGAGATAAGAGAGGTATTAGGGAATGTAGGAAGGATTTGATTTTGAACAATTTTGTCTCGTGTGCTGTCACGGGTATGAGGGCGGTTGTCACTTCCCGGCTGCCCACACCGTGGAAGGTTGTTTCTTGAGGAACCTGAAAAGGAAGATAGATTAGTGTTGGTCTTAACGACCTGGGAGCGTGACCGCAGAGTCCAAGGGACAACTGCTTGAGGCCGGTCACGCACGGCCTTTTTATGAAAGGTATTTAGACGATTAGCTCCGTTCTTAAAGGCCCTTAGTGGGCACCCTTACCACCGATGGAGACGGAAATCCGTGAGTTAGGGTGAGGTGTGACATTTTTAGGGCCGACCTTTTCTAACCCTTCCTTCCTTGTGAGAAGGCAGCATCGCTGCAGATGCTGGTTGTCCGAGAGAAACACCTTACTGCTGTCACACCCCTCCATCACAGTCAGCAGTACGACTTCACCCTCAGACCTTGAGTAGCTGCTTTTAGTCTCATCGTTCTCCAATCGACCTGCTTGGCATGGTAGGACCTGCAGGAACATGTGTTCCAGCCAGTATAGCTCGGTTGGGTCATCACAATAGGCAAGCCCGACCACCACGTCAAGGTAGCAGCTTCGGTCGGGTCTGCTGCTTCTTTATCTGCCTTGATAATTTCATCTCACTGTGCTGATGTGATAGTGGCAACATGAGCAGTCAGTCAGTCAGTTACATCGCAGAACTTTGTACGTACGTACATCAGTTCAGGTTTCCATACTGGATTGGCACAGAGACGCAACTGTCAGTTCAAATCCCAACATGAACCGACGCCAGGACTTAGGCTACTAATAAGTGACTAGTATTAAATACAGTCGGTAGTCGAAAGATGCAAGAAATGACGATAATAATAATAATGATAATAATAATAATAATAGTAACAATAATAATAATAATTTTATACACATACGTAACAAGTGATATATTGGATTGTGAATTCTCATCGACAACTCCCCAGCATGGCAATGAATTAGTTTCATCAATAGAATACGAATAACCGATTAAAGGGGAACAATGACCGCTAACCCACTCTAAGTTAGATTGATAACGAGACAAAACAATTCGTTCAGGCTATAAAGTAGCAAATAACTCGATTAATATCAATAAACATGTCCTATAGCAAAGTTTTTCGAAATAGTTAAACAATATGATATGAGCGTATTGCAAAGATAATAGCTCTGTACACAACAGAGAGTATTTCCATCAAAATTTCACTAGTTAACGTACGTAGAGAAACAAATTAATAAGAATGACAGATTATCCAACTACTCCTTTCTAATTAGTAGTACAATCAGATAAAGTTACTTAATTTCATCACTTCACCTTTTGTTACCAGTGATATTCTGCAGAGAGTAATGGAGAAATTGTTACTTACTCAGTAAGTGTTACGCATTTTTAATGCATTGAGCCTGTTATGAACCTGTGTTTCCACTCACCTTTAGTGATGAACCACTGAAAACAAGCAAGGTACCAGAGACTAAATTTCTCATTGCACGATGAAAACTCTACAGCGTATAATGCTAATCTACTCTATTTTTAAAGCAACAGAATGATACTAAACTGGTTACGGAGGTTCGCGTGTATGATGTTTTGGCGGAGCCTCAAATTAGCCAAAGAACAGTAGAAGATGAGTCATGGAGCCTATGAACGTCATTGATTTTGGGTTAGGGTTTCCAAAATCTCTTAAATGGCTCTCCGTATTCACCGATGCGGCTTACATGCTAGATATTCGTTTTTCGCCCTGTTACATTGGCCAATCAATAATTATAAATAAACTGTTTAGTATGATCCTTAGAAGATGCTTCAGTTGGACAACTTTTCTTCACAAACAGTATCTAAGTTATCTCAGCTGAGAATTTTGAGGACGTTTGCTTCTACAGAATCGCTCATATTGGATAAAACCAATTTGGTCATTTTTAAGAGACGTTTAGTATAGAGATTATAATTCAGTAAGTGATCCCATTAAAAAAACATCGGTATTTCTAACTTGGATAAAATTTATGTAAGCCATTACAGTGATTACTGTATCAATTACTGTTAAGTAAGAATACCGATGTAGTCAATTAAAAGGAAACATAAAATGATGAGAAACACACGATTCAGATAAAGGTTGGAGTGTTCTGACTCTTCTCATAAGCTACTAGAGGTAATAATCATAATTTCATGATGTTGTTACACTACGCAGTAAAGTTAAACAGCATATCGAATCAAGCCAGATGGGAGCTCTACAAATCTTACTGGTGTCCAGTGTAAATTATTATTATTATTATTATGAGGTGAAATAAAGTGTTAAGCTTATTTTTTTAGCGCAGCAGACCAAGAAAAACATACTTGTGCATTATTCTATTTGATTTAATTAGAACGTACCATTGCAAGACATTTATTTTCATGAATCATTCGGATTTTTGGAGAAACATGGTCACTGATGAATGGTGATGATTTATTTACAATCGGTGTAGATGGAGATATAAACATCTGAAGTAGTTTACATGTACGACCATCGGTAGTTGGTGTATTGGACTTTTTTAAGTGATTCGGAGGTGTAACTGAACAACCATTAGATGAATATGGACTATTTGTTGTAACCAATGTATTGTGAAATTTGGTCGAATTGACTTTCAGTCTTTCAGATTCAGTTACAAGTAATATACGTATAAGTTTATAAGCTCCTCTACCTCGTACACTTCCTCCAGCAAGTAAGGGCTGGTATACAGGATGGGAAAAAATGACATTCAAATTCAAAGTGAAACATACATATTCGGATGGGAAAAAAATAGAAAGACTATATTATTGAAAGCTATACAGAATAAACGATTCATAAGCATTATTAATATTAACCTACTTACTGGTTAAAAATTTGTGTACTCGAATTTCAGTCACACCCTAAGTATGAAGGCTAGTGTTACTGCTTAACTTTCCAGGTCGAAAGGAGGTGGGTCCAGCCAGGGACTTAACGGCTGATGACCAAACATCTTAGCCAGTGGGCCATCATTACAATTCGGAAGTATAGACTACCATGGAATTTCATGCTAGATAATCTCCATCAAATTGATGAAGACAGCGATTATGAATAAACTCAAAAGTCAAAAGTATCGTTTATGAAACCGAACTATAGAAGAAATCTAAGATTCGTTACAAAATAAAAAATTGGTTTATTATTCAGTGAGATCGTTAGAAGCTTAATTCAACTTATTCTATGGTGCAGTAGTGCTACTACGAATGATCAATCATTAATCGGCTAAAATACACACAGAATTAGTTTGCAACACCAATTTTAGCACAGGGTAAACATAAAAGTGCTTAAAAATTTCAGCAACAAAAACTTTATCAAACCATTTGTTGGTCAAATATAAACAATGATTCAAGGCTGAACGAGTCGATTTAGTTGCCTTTCACCTAACTTTCATGTTTAAACTATTCTAATAAATTGATCACAGACTACCAGAGCTCAAATTTTTACGAAATGTTGGTTATTATTTATGATAATGTAGCTGACTAATCAAGTACAAGCCTGCATATTCAACTTTCAGACACCTTTTGTTTGAAATCTAGTTGTACTATCTGGATTTTCCACAATCGAGGTTGGTGGGAAGGGGTTAGGAGCAGGAGTTTAGTTAGTAACTAAAAGCCAAATGTTTCAAACTAATATGCAACTGTCCCACATTCAAACATCTTACTTATTACCACTAAGCCAGTCGAAACCAAATGGACGGCTTTTCAACATAAAAAACTCTTAAGCATGTCAAATGTCAGAAAAATGACTGGTTATGTGTTTTTCTGATAAATTATTTCAAACGAATCCGGATGTATTAGCGTACACATCAAATACTAAGTTATATTTAAGTCTGATTTGTTAAAATATCCAATGTACTATAGTTTAATAAATCTAAACTGTAATCATGAGCTAGGAAAGATATCTAGTAGTGCATCGTAAACAGACTACCAAATGAATGCACACATGCATTTGAAATCTATAACTGTGAATTTTTGACTATTATGGTCTCATCCTACATATAAAAGTTTATCTGAAGCATTTACATTGTTTTTATTAGGTGAGGGATTATAAGATCTTATTAATGTTGCGATAACTTTCGCATTTATTAATTACCAAAGTTCTATAAAGTGCATTTATACCACTATACTGTGCTGTTATCACTGTCCCTTCTAAAGTTCATAATTAAATCTAAAGACACAAGTCCCACAGGTCAAAAAAGCTTCTCTATTTCTTGTAATAATAACACTAGATGATCAGCTCCGATACTAATAATAACCAAGAGTTGAATTTGTGAAATAGTTCAATTTCATAAGATAAAAATTTGTCATATGATTCAGTTACATACATTAATTCTAGATTCTTCTTGTTTTGTACACCAATTTACATTTAATATTTGAGATATCAACAAATGAGTAAACAACTTAAAAACACATCCAAATGAATGGTACAACAAATTTAAAGCAACACAAGACCGAAGCTTACTCTGTCCGGTGTATCACAGCACATCTTTGAAATAAAATTTGTGGAAGACAGTTGATAAATACGTCTGATAAGACCCTCACACACATTAGTGATTTCTGCAAGATTAATAATTGTATTGGTTTTCGCATGCATATTTTTATCAACTACGCCAGGTTTCCGCAAAATCCCACATGAAGCACGAATACACTGAGACACAGATTTTACAGCTTCATCAATGGTCATTAGTGAATTAACGGTACCAGATGCCAACAAACTATCATCAGCAGCACCAGATAATATATCGTGACACCTATTGATGGAATCTACCAGGTGAATTAAACCTGAAGACCACTGACGAAGCGGATGGTCAACTTCGGGAGCATAGCTGGATTCCCCTAACCGCAAGCGGCCAACAAACGAGATGGCTACCTAGAGCAAATAACCAAAACAACGACACATAGATGTTAAAGTAATCTAATTCAAAACAATTAATAAAACAGAGGATAGTTCGTCAACTCAAAAAAGCGATCATACAAATGCTTGAGTACAAGAGCAATATATCTGCCAATGGCTGGCTGAATTCCATTCGTATAAACTGAGATAACAAAGTAGGGAAACATTAGCTATCATTTATAGATGTTTATTTCTATTAATTGCGATAAATTTAAAAAAATTATCATTATATTCAATACTAGGTGCAAATGAACTAACTTGAGTTACGGATAGATTGTCCTGTCGAGCCAACTTTCGAAGAGAGGTAAAAGTTCGTTCATCCAAAGCTCGGTAAGGTAAGTTGAGTATTCTTAGGAAGCGTAAAGAATCCTTAATATTAACTGCAAGTCCAAGATAACTAAGAAGAGTTTCAAGTAAAACACATTCCTGAATATTGAAGAAAATAAGCATATAAGACAACTTGCCTTGTATCTAGTGTTGAAATCAACTTCACATCGCCGAAGGCAATAGAATTTGCATTCATTCGTTGGAAGAAATGGAAAGCATAAGTGAGGTACATTGAAATCTGCCATAATTTCTACCATTAGATACTGTTTGGTTTATGTTAATGCCTATCACAAATCAACAGATTACCTCAAACCAATCCAATTTGTTCGACTGGACAATATAACGTTGGTAGAACAACTTAGTCTTCAATGCAGAATTTTCGGAAAATTCCTCTAACAGGCGACGAGAAATTAAAACTCGGTCAACTAAATTATTAGTCTTCAAATATTCTTCAACCTTGATACAAAACAAGTATTCATTGTCGTCTACAAGAGGTCGTTGCCGATACAGACGATAGCGACATATTCGATACCAAAATTGTGATATGTCTTCTTGTCCTATAGGGCACTATAAGCATAAACGGTTATATATGGCGAACCTTACAAACTTTATCTTTTTCAATGTCACGTACGACTAGCTGGATTAATGTTAACTCGTCTTTTGGTAGAATGTAGGTTTCTGTTGAAGAGCCTTCAAGATCGAATTCCTGATGCTTTTCGTAAAGAAACTGAATTAGAGAATAAACGTTTTCTTGGGCTTCCGATTCATAGTGTGAATTTAACCCAATGAAAACAGGAGGACAATCTGACATCCTAATGTCAAATAACCGATATTTTGTTGCGCATGAAATATGCACGAAATTCCAACTTCTACCAAAGGATCTGAAAAAAAATGAATGTACTGAGGATTGCCATATCGAACTGAGACTGAGCCAGTTTTGGTCTAAATACTTAAATAAGCTATTAAGAAATACGAGCAAAATTTAGTCCAAAAATGACAAGTAATCAGCTACTTGACTCCCTCGAACGGTACATTAATACATACTGACACTGCTATTCTATTGCCACTGACTCATAGTTTCGTGTGAAATAAGTTGCCTTTGTTCATTTTTTTCACAGTCTACGCATCAGTTTGGAAGTATACAGAGTAAAAAACGCGAAATCTCAATTAAAGTGAATAAAAAGCTTTTCAACAAGGAGTACTTTAGTGTTTTAAGTCACATTTTCTCGGTAATTCGAGATGCCGAGCGATATTGACGCAAAAACTCCATCAAAGTTGCAAATTATGTGTTAATCGGCTAATATGAGGAGTATTAGGCAAAAATGAATTGCAGAACCTCAAATATACAGTATAAAGACACTAATTAACTAATGTACATGACAAGACGTGAAACGAGAATGAACTAATAAAACTCCAGCCTTTGTTGGTGTGCGATCAGCCAGGAGGTACCTTGTATGCTTTGGGTATGCGTGTAGAGCAATATGAGACTAGCTGGAGGAACGAACAAAAGAAAAAAGGTGAGCCGATGAATCAGTAAGCACACAGAATCCAATGACACTCAATAGACACCAACCAGAAACAAAGCCAGAATGATACAAACTGATAAACGAAACTAGAGGTTGTGAGAGCGAGTTTTCGAATGAGTTACTCTTAAAAATATCGTACTGCGCACTCAAAAAAGTCAGAGAAATCCTTGATACAGATAAACAAAAGCTTATAACATGATAAAATGGCTGACTTCAAGATGTTTAAATGAATGAATGTATTTATTTCAATCAAATACACTTATTAAAAAGGCAAAAAGTATAAAATTTGATGTTACGACGATGGACAAATCAGGTTGATTCTACTGTCTTAAACTTAGTTCCTAATATTTTCGTTTAGGGCTTTGATACCGATATTGCATCCGGACACTGACTCCATGTGTGATGGAATTCAACAACACTATAATCCGTGTATCTTACTGTCATTTACAGTACTAAGATAGTCAAAAAGGAAAAATTATGGTTTGAAATCAATGTTTTTTTGACTGAAGACATGGACGATAAAATGTTAAGTTTATAAACTCGTTCTACAGAGGACAGAAAGGGATTTATGCAGGCTGAATGGTTACAACCTTTTCAAATACAATCAAGCTTCGACCTTCAAACCACCACGGCAGCTAGCTTTTGCCAGCCTCCTCTTCCGTCACACCTTACGGTAATTAATTCATCGCGTCTGATGGGTGAGGACTTCAGAAGTCAGAGAAAAAAACTGAGACATCTCAGGCTTGATACAGCATGAAGAACGATCTCCTTGGCCACATTTGATGTCACGAGAGCCGACTTAGAGCTTTGAGCCAGCAACCGGGAAGCCATAATAAGCGCATCCTAATGATGGTTGACCTCGATCAATGACCCACGCAGCTAGACGCGAAGATAATGGTCTCACCAGTTGAATATACTTTGCAAGCATAAAACCTGCAGAGGTTAATTCCCAGAGAATAGGCTAACTCGGTGTGAACCACAGGTTTGGTACATGGATTTATTCTGATCTAAATGACGGGATAGTATGGAACATTTAGTGGTGATCATAGTCAGTCCGGTATCTCTCACCACCAAAATTGGTGAGCATACGTTTCTTCTAAAGAAGTCAATTACGATGAGTCTATTATTCATCTATCACCATTTTTATAATGTTGCAATACTATTAATAATGTCTTTAATATATATTATACTTGCAACTCGTTTCGAAATTGTAAATAGCTATAATAATAGACTCCGCGGTTCAGGTCATTGCATTTTTACCCGTCCCCTCCCCGTCACTTCAGGTTGTTAGTTTACTTTACGTTCTCGATTTTTGCACTATCGCTAGGTTCTTTGTGGCTTCAGGTGCCTAAGTTTTTGTCGTATTGTTTGGTATTGGCAAGTCGCAACCTACAATACTTCGTCGAATATAAAATCCATGGTTTTTTAACGCGCAAACAGATATGTACCGAGTCAACATAACTATTTATTTCATGTTATATTATATTATTATATAAATTCCCCAAAGTAACGAGACCGATGAGATTCAACTAGTGATTAATTATGCGGTAAGCCGAATCGTCACCTGCAGACCCCCAGTCACGGGCAAACCTCGCCGAATGTCACTGGACAGATTGGTTTGCGCTATGCGTGCGTTTTACAGTTTACTAGCCATATGGATTACTTCGTCTTTCTCACAGTCCTTAGGACTCATTGTTCCACTAAGTTCGCAGAAAGATGGCATTTGTTGGAGACGACAGCGATTACAGAGCAGTAACGGCAGATATCCAATGTTCCTCCTGTGAACTTGTATTTGGTACGACATCACATCTGCCTGGGGAATTTCTTCACACCACCGAGCAGCGACTTTATGTATATCAGATAACGTCCAACGACTATCTGCGTAGATGCGAATACTGCCTCCGGTGTGAACTCGAATATAACATCAACTGGTCGCTCTCCCTCGAAAGTTATATACCTTTCCATGTGTATTCATACGAGCAGATTCGTTACTGAAACCTTTGCAACAGCCCTACGAAGGATCTTTTCACCTGACTTTTCGTCACGAAAAGACCTTCCAGGTTGATGGACACAGTTAGCATTGATCGTCTCATACCAACTCATATCAATGACAGTGCCCTATCCGATAAATCCAGATTCAATGCTGGACTCATCCTTACATCTACTTCGAATTCCACGCTAGACAATTCAGAGACCTCATTCTCACGTCCCAGTCAACAGCACGCGTCATCTTTACTGTCTACGGATGAGACCAAGGTCTCACCTCCAGATCAGCAGACCTCGCCGCCCTTGACTTTGGATGAGATTGATGGCTCACGAGACTACCGCCTCACGTTCCGGTCGCAGCGTACGCCTAACTGTAAGCTTTCGAGAACAATCACCCACGCAACAACGGATAAGCGATTAGACACTATCCCAATATTACTACTACAATTTGTATCCTGAGTCCTAACTACGACCATCACTCTGTTGGCACCGCTGACTTCAGTCAATCTGGGAGAAAGCTGGCCTGATCATTCACCACTCACTTGTCGATGAATGTATGATTTCTAACTTGGTCATTCTGGCCTCTTCGCTCAATCTAGTTACGTCCTACGTCTGCGGCGTTTTCTGGTCCGGACCCCTCCAAACGCAATCTTCAGACACTGGGTATGCTCCAAGCTGGTGCCGCACGCCAACTCGAGCCGCAAGCCTAGCACATTACTACTGTTACAGTTCAACGTAGAAGACTTTCAGTGACAACTGTAGCTTCATTGGTCGCTTCCTGTTCGTCAACCCTTCCGCGCTGCAATCTCACGTTAGCCGACCAGCCCCCCACTCCCCTCACGAGGCCCTACGTATCAAAAGTGTAAAATCTTTCTAGGGGGAGCTGTCGTGGTGGAACACTTCTACAAACAAAACGCAATCGAAAAAACATTTGTCATTGTACTTCTTTTGCTTAACTGTACTAAAAATACTGACTTGCACCCAACGTTCTTTTTCGCGTTGCTGCCATCCTTTATAACTTACTGCTTGCTGCAACGCCTACTTTCTACTTCAAATATATACTTTACCCTGAATTTATTTCTGATTGTGCTGGCGGGATAGTAATTAGTAATAAGTGTTGATCATAGTCAATCTAGACTCAGTCATCACTAAAATGTCTTACACAATTTAGCTATAATAAAACTGTAACATGATCAGTATCTGTTATTACTCTATCTATCAATCAGTTCGTTCATAATGCCGATAAAAGTTGCAAAATACTATCTAGCAACTAATGCAACAAACAGTCAACAGTAGATAAGACCCGATCATTCATTGGTGTCGAAGCTCCTTCAAAATGTAAATTCAAATAAAAGTATATCTATGCTGTACTGTGTTCAGTAGCGACCCGAATATTATGCTGTATGTTTTAAATTTCTGACCATAAGATAGAATATTTGGAGACTTACGTTTTGTAAATAACTTAGAAATGAAATAAGAGATGTCACGAAACAGTAGCTTGTAGTAGAGGGCTTTTACGAAGAGAAGCAATCGCTGAAATGTAAAACATTTATTATTGTAAACAGTTGTAACAATGATTGTCTTATTGTATTCCTTTTGTTCAACAATACCTCTTGTTTATAACACTTATTTGCGCGCAACCTTCTGTTTGCGTTGCTGCGATCTTGATGCAGCTGCTCTTTATTTCGCCCACTTTCTTGGTGTCCTTCCGACACCACGAAATCATCAGCAAATATATTCTTTACCCTGGATTTATTCATTTTTATAGTGGCGGGCTCGTAATTAGTATTTAGTGGTGATCATATTCAATCTTGACTCGACTCACTGAATGGTGATTCTTACGAACTGTATACTATTCTCCTTTACCTTGACAGTTATAAACACTGACTCGTGAACTGATATGAACTTTGAGCTATTCAGTACGCGAGACTTATGTAAATCACATGTAAATCACAAAACCAGAAACTTTGGCAGTATATTGAACCCAAATTCTAGTTGTAACATGATCACTTGCTTCGTTAGTTAAAAAAACAGCTGAATTACAAACATTTAAGTGAGTTTTCAGGGAACTCAGTTGAGTGAATGGTGAAAAAACAGGAAGGCAGTGTTGTTAACCTGGCTTCTCAGTGACCATTACATCATCAGGAAGTACGTTACGTTTCACGATGTAAGACCGAGTGAAGTAAGTATCAGAAACTTAAAGTTCGATCACTCAATTTCGGTTAAATAATTATATACAACCTAGAAATATCACAACAAAGAAAATGAGTTACAGTTCATTTATGTGTTTGATGTAACGTTCCGAAATGATAATTATGCGGTACGCTCTGTACCATCTGCCAAAATCATTCATTTAGAATGTCACTGAGCTCTAGATAAACCATCCATCAAGTCAAATCATTTCTACTCTAGATGATAGATCACTGGTCGTTAACAAATATACGGAACATAGTCTAAGTCATGGAAGACAAACCGGCATAATTCAGCTGAACATCATGGACTGGTACACTAGGCGGTGACTGAATCACGCACTTGTGTAATCTGTTCATACCAATGAATTTATCCGGTAATGTCATGTCTGTTTTACAAAGACAATAAAGTAGCAGCAGCACCTGTATAATACCAAAGAGTTCTTATTAGGTTCTAGCCAATAAAATGCAAGCCAACAGATCACATTCATAAAATTCGAATGGACCCCAATCTTCGACATTGCTTGTTTACATTGGTGATCTGCCATATATATGGAGGAGATACTGAACGGACTCTTCTCACCAACAATAACCCCCTATGTATTTTACCTAATTGAAAAATGATCAAACGAGGAGTTTTATTATTAAAAACAAAAAATATTACCATTCTGTCAGATTGGAAAAGGCAGCCAACAATCCGAAAATGATCCAGTGAATGGAAATGAGTATATTTTTTATTATCAACCTATTCGAACTTATCATTGCTTAAATAAAACCTATCATTCAGTGAATTACAACGTCACGTGTAAGAAAATTCAGGCTAATTGTCACACACACACACACACAAACACAGAATAACCAGTAGTTAAGAAAGTTGAGATCAGTAGAGTGAAACTGGGATAATTTTTGTATACACAATAATGCAACATATGTGTGTGTCTTGTCTGTACCCATGATAAACAAACATTTCTTTGTGTCAGTATATAGGTCAAAGGAACAAATATATTTTAGCTAATGAAGAGAAAACAAAGATACAAATATTTTTTATCTAAAATATGCCTAAACAAATCAATACTCTCATCAAAAAATCTCTACTTAGACCAAAAAAAAAAACTAAAATTCTCTACAAGGAAGACAATCGAAGGAGATTCGGGTAAATAAATGTCTAAATCAAAAATTTAAATGAATTTCTAACCAATCAGAGTTATTTTTAATGTTGTGTTCTTTGAACTGAGCGATGGTTAAGCGTAACATTCATCGTAGTCATTTTAAACAACATTGTCAAGCACAAGCTGATTAAGATAGGATTAGATTATTTGAATCTCTCCACATATGACTGACATTTTGTTTTGTTGACACTAAATCGCATTCGTTGTTGTGATTGTTTACACATTGATTTTGATGGCATTTTAGGTTCAAAGGCTGCTGCTGGGGGACAAAACAAGTGTCAACAATTGCCGAATAAATTCAAAATCGACATAATAATTTACTTTTCTACATATAGATAAAATCAAGTAATTCATTTCTATCTGATTTTGTTTGTGAAGACACTGAAAACTGCACAGATAAACTACTCAACAACTCAGAGGAAAAAACTTCACCGAAATAACTGCATATACCTTTCTCTATATGAAAATGTATTTGGTAAGTTTTAAAAAAAAGCTATAAATGAATTGGATGTGATGCTAAACAATGAAGTAAATCTTGTGGTTTTAATTCATTTTGACAAATCCGATGAACTCCAACAAATAGAGGAAAATGTGCTGTACGATGTCTCGTAGCCAATATTTGATATATCTTAAGGAAAATGAGATAGAAAAATAAGTAAAGGATAACAAACAATTAGAGGAATGAAACAAAATACTATTGGAATCATTAATCTATCATTGTCAGACCACCATTAGAAAACTGGAAGCAATGGACGGCCGTTTCGTCCTGGTATGGGACATGCACATGCACGACTCTTGCACCTCGCAGAATCCGAACCCAGAACCTTCGGTCATGTGCGCGAACGCCCAACCTCAGTAGTGACTATCGTCGTGAAGAACTTCTCGGAGTTCTAGTGAGAAGACGTGACCAGTTGAGTTCAACCCTGTCGGGTGTAGGCAGTAGCTACGAAAGACAAATGAGCGAGGTCGCTTAAAATCCCTAGATTGAACAGTATTAGGCACTAAGAGCATTGGATGCCGGCCCAGTGGTCGAGAGGTTAGGCATTCACGAGCAAGACCGAAGGTCCCGGGTTCAATTCCTGCGAGGTGCAGGAGTCGAGGATGCGCACTGCTGATGAGTCCCAGACCAGGACGAAACGGCCGTCCAGTGCTTCCACGTTTCTAATGGTGATCTAGCAATGATTGATTGGTGATTTCAATGTCTAAAAACACTAATCTCCATAACTCTTATTGAAGACGAAATACCACATCGGAGAAAATAACATGATGATGCAGATCATAATTTGTCATCATATCTGTGTCCACTTGAAATCGTTGCAGATTTCGAACTGACAAGCTAAAAGTATATATATGTATATACATATATATATATATATATAACTTTTTTCCAACTAATAATCATAAATGCATACTTTAGGCTCTGAAAATATTTATTTACCTTAAACTCATCTATTCCTTAATTCAGACTGAGATTTTATTGAAAAAAACAAACAAAAAACAATCCGTATTCCTAGATCGATTTTTTAATAAAATGTACACTTATGCATAACTGATAGATAGTATTTCATCAATGAAATGTTCATTCATTAGGAAATAATAAGTAAATGAACACAACCCAGAAATTAAATTAATCTTACAAAACACTGATACGATGAGATGAAAACAAAAGAAGGTGAGGTTATTTCAGAGTCAATTATTCTTTGTATCAATCTAGCGTGAATTTCGCTCCATACTACAGGTGTGAACTCCCATTCAGTGTGATAATTAAAAATTCTTTGTATGATTCTTATATAAACTGTGGATATATTTTTACAGTAAATTTGTGTATTTTTATTACATATTACGTTTATTAATTGAACATCAGTATATGTATGAGAGTGTAATTGAACTCAATGAGGATGTCTTTTCACAGAGTGAATAAACATTTGTCTGCAACTACCTTGTGTGTTCTTACCTTGCGTTGCGAGAATTACACTGGTTCATCCGTTTCAAATATGAGCAGCAGAACCTCGGATAGATGAACACCTTCAACTAAAACCACATTTGTCAACTCACTAGTTACTCAAGTTAAAATCTTACTGATGTGCTAGTCACAAGTCATGACTAGCGGAGTTTAGACATGTCCTGATTCAAATACTTGCCACCAACGCCATTCATTGGATTCTTGTCTCGATTTATCACAAATTGATTGCAGTGAAAATTGTAACACTGGACATCAGTCTAGTACTTCTAATATTCTAATGTTTTCCCAGAGACCTGACAGTTCCAGTGTTCGATTAATAGTGAAGAGTACTCTGCTACGATAAAAGTTCTGTCCAATACTTCCTGAACTCCAATAATATTCTATATGCTATATAGGATATATATATATATATATATATATATATATATATATATATGTGAAACTTAATTCTTTCAGTTGTCAAGTTACCTGTTTTGCATACTCAACTCCATCAGTAAATGTTCTCTTTGAGTCTTTGGCTAGTTGTTGTAAACTGAGAGAACTTCCTGGACGAGATAATTTATGACCAACAGTGATATTCACTAAATCCAAATCGGATCCAATATCTGGAAATTCATCAGTTCGATGAGACATACCTTAAAAAAATCAAATAATAATAATAATAATAATAAATACAAAAGATATTTAATTACGATTAAGAAGAAATCAATGAGTTTATTCCATTCATTAGGTACCAAATTGTAAGGTTAGTGATAAGATACACTTTAAACGTACAAACATGATTAACCACTAATACCCCCAAATCCATTGTAATGCAGATAACACATGTATTTTATTCACATGTAATTTAACTGAATCGTAAATTGTTTTTATGAATTCTATCAACAAAAAGAAGCTTAATCATTTCATGTATCATCATACATAATCAATACAACAGAGTTATAATGAATTCTCAACAAAATTCAATCGTCTTGAACTTTTAATTAAGATTATGAATATTAGTAATTACATAGATAAAATGATGATGAGACAGTCAATCGAACAACAAACAACTACAACACATACAACATAATAATCACTTCTATGAAATTTTCAAAAAAATTTTGGAAAAAGAAAAAAAAAGAAACGATTGGACTAACAGTTATGTTGACTAATAAATCAATAAAGACTAAGAAGCATTTTGTTAAAATAAGTCTATCGCATAGTAATAATAGCGTGTATTCACTTCATCAAATTATTCATTGTAGTCACAGTTACTATTAGTGTAAGGTGAACTTTAAAAAATGTAATCGGCACATTGTGTGAGCTTATTTAGTGAGAAAAAAAAACATTATAAAAATCAAGTACACAAGAGCATGAAAATTTTGATTGAAAAAATTAACAACAACAACTAGATAATGTCTATCAGCATCCTGAATACACAAACACTGGAATGAGTGAAAAAGTATCTTGAAGCGTTTTACTGCACAAACTGTTACCTTTCAAAGGGCTTATCACATTGGCACCTGAACTAGTGATAGGGAATGAAGTCGTCGAGCATGTCGACCACTTCACTTATCTGGGGAGTCTCATCAATGCAGATGGCCTGGTAACTGACGAAATCTAGGCATGGATCCAGAAGGCTCGATTGGCTTTTGCCAACCTGCGTCACTTATGGCGTAGGCGAGATATCCGTTTGCTGACTAAAGAACGAGTGTACGGAGCAGTAGTTCGCTTCGTCTCACTTTATGGCTGTGAAACATGGCCGGTAAGAGTACAGGACATTCGTAGGTTATTAGTATTCGATTATAGATGTCTTCGAAGTATTGCTCGTATCTCCTAGGACAACCGAGTACTAGGTAGTGATAGCAAACCAATAGGTGAAGTATTGAAACTTCGTAGACATTTAATTACGATTAAGAAGAAATCTATGATTTTATTTCATTTGCTAAGTACCAGTTTGTGAGATTGGCTAAAAGATACACTTTGAGCGTAAGAACATGATTAACCAATTGAGGTGGTTGGAACATGTCTTACGTATGCCGCACCACCGACTGCCTCGACGAACTTTGTTTTGTAGTGTAGGAGTAGGTTGGAAGAAAGTTAGGGGCGGCCAGAACAAAATATGGCACAAATCCATGAAGTCACTGACAAGTGGACTGAGTCATGTTGGTAGATGTAGACTACCTGGTTGGGGTCCGCGAGACGAAAGTCATCAATGGTTAGAGACCTTGAACGACATGGCTCGAAATCGTTTGCAATGGCGCAGGTGCATCCACTCTTTGAGCTCTCTCAAATCCTAATCTTCTGGATTCGTCAGCACCTCAACCTTTGTCTTTCTAAATTTATCTCACTGAAATATACTTCTTGAATAATATCTTCGATCCTTAATATTCTCCTTTACCGCTGATTCTTCTAATATCTCCACCACTGTGGGATTTGAACTGACAGATGCGTCTATGTGCTGATGTGGTATGGCAACCTGAACTTATGTAAGCACGTATGAAGTTCTACGTTGTAACTGACTAACAGTGTTTTGGTGTAAAAGCTCTTGTTTTTAGTACGATAATCGTATCAAATGTATACATTGACATTTGATAATTAACCTTAGAAAACTGTCCAACGCGAAAAATTATTTCAAATGATAAGGAAAGCTAGAAATGATAATGTCAATTTTTCAAAAAATATACACTGATCAACAAACAAATAAGAAACAATGAAAAAGAAATAAAAATTCAATCAGACACATGTAGGATTGGTTAAACAATTAAAAAAAAAAATAAAAAAATTTTTTCAAAGAAATTTTAAAAAACGCTGTGGTTATTTTAAAAAACCCTGTTAAAAGTTTAAAAAACGAGTTGAAATACTATATAAATATATCTGTATGATTTACAATAGAATGATGAAGATCTAATTAATAAGAAATGTTCACTCTCTATTCGTCGTGCATCTTACTAAACAGCAAAATGTGGATTTTCGCCATACAACAAGGCTAATCCCATTACAATTGGATAAAAAATGACTAAGTTTATTGGATTTTCTAGGTGGTCATCTATATTTGAGAAGTATGGAAAGATCAAGCTATTCTTATACGAACAGTTCTATTGACGACTCAGTAACGGCAACTGGCACACAACACTCCAACAGTTTGCGGGTAACACAAGGAAAAGATGAAGAATCGGTATAACTTGATATTCAAACAAATCAAGTTAAAATGACACAAGTCAGGAAATATAGTAACAATGATATGACACCGACGTACATAGAAAATGAACGAACTGGGAGTAATGAGAACAAATTGGAAAAGAGCGAAAGTCATAATAAAAAAAAACAGTATACCACAGTGACAGTTGTTGTGCATATTACTACATAGCATGGCTTATAAGTAGTATGCAGTGGCCAAGCAGCAGAAGTTACTGCTGGAGAGAAGAGTGTCTAATCCGGATGTATGGCGCCATCAAAGTGTTTTGAAGAATAGAAGACATGTGGAAGAAGACATCCAAAAATACGGTTATTTTTCAAATGGATGTTTGGCTATAAGGTCCCATCTAGTCTTCGGTTATTATGCCGTAACTAGTCAGACTTTATCATTCTTAAAGACTTCAGCAATCATGTGATAGCCTTAGAGGGTTTAAACGTCAAAATACCATTCACAAATGATTATATCAACGTTTTGAACCAAATGTACAAAAAACATCTGGACAGAAAAAAAATTTTAACTTTAGGATTTTCTTTACATTTACTATGTGAGATTTAAAAATTCTAGTTATCAGTATGTTAAACCGCTTTATCTTCCACAATATGTAATATTTCAGATAAAAAATCAACTTCATTGATAAGCAAGCGCTTAACATTAATGTCGACTGAGATAACTAAAAATAATAATAAAGAAATCGATAATACCACTTCTGTAATCCAAGATAATCAGCAGAATCTCTTCAAGAAACCGGTTACATAAAGTTATTAATTTTATATGTAAATCGTATAGGAAGAAGGTACAAGCTTTTTGGCTGTATGTGACCTAAATATTTAAGAAAGTAGGTGAAAATCTAAGCTGATTTAACTGATACATAGTTTGTATGCATTTATCTCTATGTTTTACAAAAATTACATTTTATCTTAAATTAGTATTATTCAGGCTAATAAAACATACCATCCAACACACTTTGCAGTTTATTTGTATGGAAATAGTGAGTAGGCTTAATTGCAGATGTATCACGGGGCTACTCTTCAATTAATTTCTCCTCATGATGACTCTACACTAATATATAGTATTTCAACTCGTTTTTTAAACTTTTAACAGGGTTTTTTAAAATAACCACAGCGTTTTTTAAAATTTTTTGTAATCCTTAGAATGTCAGAAATAAATAGAAAAAACAACTTGATTTCGAATGAAAAAAGAAAAAGCCTTATAAAAAAAGTTATTGAAGATGGATACAGCGTCAAGGATGCGGCATTTCTTACAGATGTAAACTATCAGGCCGCTACAAATATTATAAGGTTGTATAAAAAGGAATCGCGAGTTGAGAAGAAAAAAACAGGAAAACCATCAAATAAGAAGATATGCGGTGATATTATCAATTTTGTTGAAGAATTGATAGAATTAAACCCGTTAATAACGATGGTAGAAATTCGAGAAAAAATAGAAAACATATTTTCTATAGGCCTTTCTCTTGAATCTATAAGAAGGATAATTTATAGACTTCAGATTACTTTGAAAAAGATTTCTTGTACATCGGTCAATATAAATTCCGAATCCAGTAAAAACAAACGCCAAATTTATGCTCAAAATTTTATGAACATTGAAGATACATTTATAAAAGTTTTTATAGATGAATCTTTTTCTAATTTGTACTTAAGAAGAACCTTGGGAAGATCTACAAGAGGAAAACCGGCAAGTGCCCTAGTTCCATCAACGCGTGGAACCAATATAAGTTTAATATCGGCTATAACAGAAAATGAAGTTCTCTTTGCTAAAACATTTGTTGATTCGGTGAATTTTATTTTTTCAAAAAAATTTTAAAAAACGCTGTGGTTATTTTAAAAAACCCTGTTAAAAGTTTAAAAAACGAGTTGAAATACTATATAAATATATCTGTATGATTTACAATAGAATGATGAAGATCTAATTAATAAGAAATGTTCACTCTCTATTCGTCGTGCATCTTACTAAACAGCAAAATGTGGATTTTCGCCATACAACAAGGCTAATCCCATTACAATTGGATAAAAAATGACTAAGTTTATTGGATTTTCTAGGTGGTCATCTATATTTGAGAAGTATGGAAAGATCAAGCTATTCTTATACGAACAGTTCTATTGACGACTCAGTAACGGCAACTGGCACACAACACTCCAACAGTTTGCGGGTAACACAAGGAAAAGATGAAGAATCGGTATAACTTGATATTCAAACAAATCAAGTTAAAATGACACAAGTCAGGAAATATAGTAACAATGATATGACACCGACGTACATAGAAAATGAACGAACTGGGAGTAATGAGAACAAATTGGAAAAGAGCGAAAGTCATAATAAAAAAAAACAGTATACCACAGTGACAGTTGTTGTGCATATTACTACATAGCATGGCTTATAAGTAGTATGCAGTGGCCAAGCAGCAGAAGTTACTGCTGGAGAGAAGAGTGTCTAA